CCTTCAAACTGGCCAAAACGAACAATGTTCATAACAACAAGCCAAACTCATCAAAAGAACACTAAAACAACAGCTTAACGCATTCATGCCATTACACATGCTCAAAAACGTTCAAACTCGCCAAAACAAACACTTTTTATAACGAGCCAAACTCATCAAAAGAACACTAAAACAAAATCTTAACGCATTCATGCCATTGCACATGCTCAAAAACGTTCAAACTGGCCAAAACAAACACTTTTCATAACAACAAGCCAAACTCATCATAAGAACACTAAAACAACAGCTTAACGCATTCATGCCATTACACATGCTCAAAAACGTTCAAACTGGCCAAAACAAACACTTTTCATAACAACAAGCCAAACTCATCCAAAGAACACTAAAACAACAGCTTAACGCATTCATGCCATTACACATGCTCAAAAACGTTCAAACTCGCCAAAACAAACACTTTTCATAACAACAAGCCAAACTCATCAAAAGAACACTAAAACTACATCTTAACACAAGGGATTACTAATTCAACACATTCATGCCATTACACATGCTCAAAAACGTTCAAACTGGCCAAAACGAACAATGTTCATAACAACAAGCCAAACTCATCAAAAGAACACTAAAACAACAGCTTAACGCATTCATGCCATTACACATGCTCAAAAACGTTCAAACTCGCCAAAACAAACACTTTTCATAACAACAAGCCAAACTCATCAAAAGAACACTAAAACAACAGCTTAACGCATTCATGCCATTACACATGCTCAAAAACGTTCAAACTCGCAAAATAACAATTTTCATAACAACAAGCCAAACTCATCAAAAGAACACTAAAACAACAGCTTAACGCATTCAAGCCATTACACATGCTCAAAAACGTTCAAACTCGCCAAAACAAACACTTTTCATAACAACAAGCCAAACTCATCAAAAGAACACTAAAACAACAGCTTAACGCAAGGGTTTACGAATTCAACACATTCATGCCATTACAAATGCTCAAAAACGTTCACACTCGCCGAAACAAACACTTTTCATAACAACAAGCCAAACTCATCAAAAGAACACTAAAACAACAGCTTAACACAAGGGATTACTAATTCAACACATTCATTCCATTACACATGCTCAAAAACCTTCAAACTGGCCAAAACGAACAATGTTCATAACAACAAGCCAAACTCATCAAAAGAACACTAAAACAAAATCTTAACGCATTCATGCCATTACACATGCTCAAAAACGTTCAAACTGGCCAAAACGAACAATGTTCATAACAACAAGCCAAACTCATCAAAAGAACACTAAAACAACAGCTTAACGCATTCATGCCATTACACATGCTCAGAAACGTTCAAACTCGCCAAAACAAACACTTTTCATAACAACAAGCCAAACTCATCAAAAGAACACTAAAACAACAGCTCAACGCATTCATGCCATTACACATGCACAAAAACGTTCAAACTCGCCAAAATAAGCACTTTTCATAACAACAAGCCAAACTCATCAAAAGAACACTAAAACAACAGCTTAACGCATTCAAGCCATTACACATGCTCAAAAACGTTCAAACTCGCCAAAACAAACACTTTTCATAACAACAAGCCAAACTCATCAAAAGAACACTAAAACAACAGCTTAACGCAAGGGTTTACGAATTCAACACATTCATGCCATTACAAATGCTCAAAAACGTTCACACTCGCCGAAACAAACACTTTTCATAACAACAAGCCAAACTCATCAAAAGAACACTAAAACAACAGCTTAACACAAGGGATTACTAATTCAACACATTCATTCCATTACACATGCTCAAAAACCTTCAAACTCGCCAAAACGAACAATGTTCATAACAACAAGCCAAACTCATCAAAAGAACACTAAAACAACAGCTTAACGCATTCATGCCATTACACATGCTCAAAAACGTTCAAACTCGCCAAAACAAACACTTTTCATAACAACAAGCCAAACTCATCAAAAGAACACTAAAACAACAGCTTAACGCATTCATGCCATTACACATGCTCAAAAACGTTCAAACTCGCCAAAACAAACACTTTTCATAACAACAAGCCAAACTCATCAAAAGAACACTAAAACAACAGCTTAACCAAGGGTTTAATTCAACACATTCATGCCATTACACATGCTCAAAAACGTTCAAACTCGCCAAAACAAACACTTTTCATAACAACAAGCCAAACTCATCAAAAGAACACTAAAACAACAGCTTAACACAAGGGATTACTAATTCAACACATTCATTCCATTACACATGCTCAAAAACCTTCAAACTGGCCAAAACGAACAATGTTCATAACAACAAGCCAAACTCATCAAAAGAACACTAAAACAACAGCTTAACGCATTCATGCCATTACACATGCTCAAAAACGTTCAAACTCGCCAAAACAAACACTTTTCATAACAACAAGCCAAACTCATCAAAAGAACACTAAAACAACAGCTTAACGCAAGGGTTTACTAATTCAACACATTCATGCCATTACACATGCTCAAAAACCTTCAAACTCCCCAAAACAAACACTTTTCATAACAACAAGCCAAACTCATCAAAAGAACACTAAAACAACAGCTTAACACAAGGGATTACTAATTCAACACATTCATTCCATTACACATGCTCAAAAACCTTTAAACTGGCCAAAACGAACAATGTTCATAACAACAAGCCAAACTCATCAAAAGAACACTAAAACAACAGCCTAACGCATTCATGCCATTACACATGCTCAAAAACATTCAAACTCACCAAAACAAACACTTTTCATAACAACAAGCCAAACTCATCAAAAGAACACTAAAACAACAGCTTAACGCATTCATGCCATTACACATGCTCAAAAACGTTCAAACTCGCCAAAACAAACACTTTTCATAACAACAAGCCAAACTCATCAAAAGAACACTAAAACAACAGCTTAACGCATTCATGCCATTGCACATGCTCAAAAACGTTCAAACTGGCCAAAACAAACACTTTTCATAACAACAAGCCAAACTCATCCAAAGAACACTAAAACAACAGCTTAACGCATTCATGCGATTACACATGCTCAAAAACGTTCAAACACGCCAAAACAAACACTTCTCATAACAACAAGCCAAACTCATCAAAAGAACACTAAAACAACAGCTTAACGCAAGGGATTACTAATTCAACACATTCATGCCATTACACATGCTCAAAATCGTTCAAACTCGCCAAAACAAACACTTTTCATAACAACAAGACAAACTCATCAAAAGAACACTAAAACAACGGCTTAACACAAGGGATTAATAATTCAACACATTCATGCCATTACACATGCTAAAAAACCTTCAAACTCGCCAAAACAAACAATGTTCAAAACAACAAGCCAAACTCATCAAAAGAACACTAAAACAACAGCTTAACGCATTCATGCCATTACACATGCTCAAAAACGTTCAAACTCGCCAAAACAAACACTTTTCATAACAACAAGCCAAACTCATCAAAAGAACACTAAAACAAAATCTTAACGCATTCATGCCATTGCACATGCTCAAAAACGTTCAAACTGGCCAAAACAAACACTTTTCATAACAACAAGCCAAACTCATCAAAAGAACACTAAAACAACAGCTTAACGCATTCATGCCATTACATATGCTCAAAAACGTTCAAACTCGCCAAAACAACCACTTCTCATAACAACAAGCCAAACTCATCAAAAAAACACTAAAACAACAGCTTAACGCAAGGGATTACTAATTCAACACATTCATGCCATTACACATGCTCAAAAACGTTCAAACTCGCCAAAACAAACACTTTTCATAACAACAAGCCAAACTCATCAAAAGAACACTAAAACAACAGCTTAACACAAGGGATTACTAATTCAACACATTCATGCCATTACACATGCTCAAAAACGTTCAAACTGGCCAAAACGAACAATGTTCATAACAACAAGCCAAACTCATCAAAAGAACACTAAAACAACAGCTTAACGCATTCATGCCATTACACATGCTCAAAAACGTTCAAACTCGCCAAAACAAACACTTTTCATAACAACAAGCCAAACTCATCAAAAGAACACTAAAACAACAGCTTAACGCATTCATGCCATTACACATGCTCAAAAACGTTCAAACTCGCCAAAACAAACACTTTTCATAACAACAAGCCAAACTCATCAAAAGAACACTAAAACAACAGCTTAACACAAGGGATTAATAATTCAACACATTCATGCCATTACACATGCTCAAAAACCTTCAAACTGGCCAAAACGAACAATGTTCATAACAACAAGCCAAACTCATCAAAAGAACACTAAAACAACAGCTTAACGCATTCATGCCATTACACATGCTCAAAAACGTTCAAACTCGCCAAAACAAACACTTTTCATAACAACAAGCCAAACTCATCAAAAGAACACTAAAACAACAGCTTAACGCATTCATGCCATTACACATGCTCAAAAACGTTCAAACTCGCCAAAACAAACACTTTTCATAACAACAAGCCAAACTCATCAAAAGAACACTAAAAAAAAACAGCTTAACGCATTCATGCCATTACACATGCTCAAAAACCTTCAAACTCGCAAAAACAAACACTTTTCATAACAACAAGCCAAACTCATCAAGAGAACACTAAAACAACAGCTTAACACAAGGGATTAATAATTCAACACATTCATGCCATTACACATGCTCAAAAACCTTCAAACTGGCCAAAACGAACAATGTTCATAACAACAAGCCAAACTCATCAAAAGAACACTAAAACAACAGCTTAACACAAGGGATTACTAATTCAACACATTCATGCCATTACACATGCTCAAAAACGTTCAAACTCGCCAAAACGCACAATGTTCATAACAACAAGCCAAACTCATCAAAAGAACACTAAAACAACAGCTTAACACATTCATGCCATTACACATGCTCAAAAACGTTCAAACTCGCCAAAACAAACACTTTTCATAACAACAAGCCAAACTCATCAAAAGAACACTAAAACAACAGCTTAACGCATTCATGCCATTACACATGCTCAAAAACGTTCAAACTCGCCAAAACAAACACTTTTCATAACAACAAGCCAAACTCATCAAGAGAACACTAAAACAACAGCTTAAAACAAGGGACTAATAATTCAACACATTCATGCCATTACATATGCTCAAAAACCTTCAAACACGCCAAAACAAACAATGCTCATAACAACAAGTCAAAACTCATCAAAAGAACACTAAAAATACATCTAAACACAAGGGTGAACTAATTCAACACATACATGCCATTACACATGCTCACAAATCTTTAAACTCGTCAAAACAAACAATGTTCATAACAACAAGCCAAACTCTTTAAAAGAACACTTAAAACACAGCTTAACACAAGGGGTAACCAATTCAACACATACGTGCCATACTACATGCTCACAAACCTTCAAACTCGCCAAAACAAACAATGTTCATAACAAGAAAGCCAAACTCATCAAAAGAACACTAAAACAACACCTTAACACAAACATGCCATTAAACATGCTCAAAAACCTTCAAGCTCGCCAAAACAAACAATGCTCCTAACAACTAGCCAAACTCATCAAAAGAACACTAAAACAACACCTTAACACAAACATGCCATTAAACATGCTCAAAAACCTTTAAACTCGCCAAAACAAACAGTGTTCAAAACAACAAGCCAAACTCCTGAAAAGAACACTAAAACAACAGCTTAACAAATTCATGCCATTACACATGCTCAAAAACCTTCAAACTCGCCAAAACAAACACTTTTCATAACAAAAAGCCAAACTCTTCAAGAGAACACTAAAACAACAGCTTAAAACAAGGGATTAATAATTCAACACATTCATGCCATTACATATGCTCAAAAACCTTCAAACTGGCCAAAACGAACAATGGTCACAACAACAAGCCAAACTCATCACAAGAACACTAAAACAACAGCTTAACACAAGGGATTACTAATTCAACACATTCATGCCATTACACATGCTCAAAAACCTTCAAACACGCCAAAACAAACAATGCTCATAACAACAAGCCAAAACTCATCAAAAGAACACTAAAAATACATCTAAACACAAGGGTGAACTAATTCAACACATACATGGCTTTACACATGCTCACAAATCTTTAAACTCGTCAAAACAAACAATGTTCATAACAACAAGCCAAACTCTTTAAAAGAACACTTAAAACACAGCTTAACACAAGGGGTAACCAATTCAACAGATACGTGCCATACTACATGCTCACAAACCTTCAAACTCCCCAAAACAAACAATGTTCATAACAACAAGCCAAACTCATCAAAAGAACACTAAAACAACAGCTTAACACATTCATGCCATTACACATGCTCAAAAACCTTCAAACTCGCCAAAAAAAACAATGTTCATAACAACAAGCCAATCTCATCAAAAGAACACTCAAACAAAAGTTTAACACAAGGGTTAACTAATTCAACACATTCATGCCATTAAACATGCTCAAAAGCCTTTAAACTCGCCCAAACAAACAATGTGCATAACAACAAGCCAAACTCATCAAAAGAACACTAAAACAACAGCTTAACACATTCATGCCATTACACATGCTCAAAAACCTTCAAACTCGCCAAAACAAACAGTGTTCATAACAACAAGCCAAACTCCTGAAAAGAACACTTAAAATACATTTTAACACAAGGGATTACTATTTCAACACATTCATGCCATTACACATGCTCAAAAACCTTCATACTCGCCAAAACAAACAATGTTCATAACAACAAGCCAAACTCATTAAAAGAACACTAAAACAAACAGCTTAACACATTCATGCCATTACACATGCTCAAAAACCTTCAAACTCGCCAAAACAAACAGTGTTCATAACAACAAGCCAAACTCCTTAAAAGAACACTTAAAACACATCTTAACACAATGGATTACTAATTCAACACATTCATGCCATTACACATGCTCAAAAACCTTCATACTCACCAAAACAAACAATGTTCATAACAACAAGCCAAACTCATCAAAAGAACACTAAAACAACAGCTTAACACATTCATGCCATTACACATGCTCAAAAACCTTCAAACTCGCCAAAACGAACAATGTTCATAACAACAAGCCAAACTCATCAAAAGAACACTAAAACAACAGCTTAACACAAGGGTTAACTAATTCAACACAAACATGCCATTAAACATGCTCAAAAACCTTGAAACTCGCCCAAACAAACAATGTGCATAACAACAAGCCAAAATCATCAAAAGAACACTAAAAGAACAGCTTAACAAATTCATGCCATTACACATGCTCAAAAACCTTCAAACTCGCCAAAACAAACAATGTTCATAACAACAAGCCGAACTCATCAAAAGAACACTAAAACAACAGCTTAACACATTCATGCCATTACACATGCTCAAAAACCTTCAAACTCGCCAAAACAAACACTTTTCATAACAACAAGCCAAACTCCTTTAAAGAACACTTAAAATACATCTTAACACAAGGGATTACTAATTTAACACATTCATGCCATTAAACATGCTCAAAAACCTTTAAACTCGCCCAAACAAACAATGTGCATAACAACAAGCCAAACTCATCAAAAGAACACTAAAACAACAGCTTAACACATTCATGCCATTACACATGCTCAAAAACCTTCAAACTCGCCAAAACAAACAATTTTCATAACAACAAGCCAAACTCCTTAAAATAACACTTAAAATACATCTTAACACAAGGGATTACTAATTCAACACATTCATGCCATTACACATGCTCAAAAACCTTCATACTCGCCAAAACAAACAATGTTCATAACAACAAGCCAAACTCATCAAAAGAACACTAAAACAACAGCTTAACACATTCATGCCATTACACATGCTCAAAAACCTTCAAACTCGCCAAAACAAACAGTGTTCATAACAACAAGCCAAACTCCTTAAAAGAACACTTAAAACACATTTTAACACAATGGATTACTAATTCAACACATTCATGCCATTACACATGCTCAAAAACCTTCATACTCGCCAAAACAAACACTTTTCATAACAACAAGCCAAACTCATCAAAAGAACACTAAAACAACAGCTTAACACATTCATGCCATTACACATGCTCAAAAACCTTCAAACTCGCCAAAACGAACAATGTTCATAACAACAAGCCAAACTCATCAAAAGAACACTAAAACAACAGCTTAACGCATTCATGCCATTACACATGCTCAAAAACGTTCAAACTCGCCAAAACAAACAATGTTCATAACAACAAGCCAAACTCATCAAAAGAACACTAAAACAACAGCTTAACACATTCATGCCATTACACATGCTCAAAAACCTTCAAACTCGCCAAAACGAACAATGTTCATAACAACAAGCCAAACTCATCAAAAGAACACTAAAACAACAGCTTAACGCATTCATGCCATTACACATGCTCAAAAACGTTCAAACTCGCCAAAAAAAAACAATGTTCATAACAACAAGCCAATCTCATCAAAAGAACACTAAAACAACAGCTTAACACAAGGGTTAACTAATTCAACACAAACATGCCATTAAACATGCTCAAAAACCTTTAAACTCGCCCAAACAAACAATGTGCATAACAACAAGCCAAAATCATCAAAAGAACACTAAAACAACAGCTTAACAAGTTCATGCTATTACACATGCTCAAAAACCTTCAAACTCGCCAAAACAAACAATGTTCATAACAACAAGCCAAACTCATCAAAAGAACACTAAAACAACAGCTTAAAACATTCATGCCATCACACATGCTCAAAAAACTTCAAACTCGCCAAAACAAACAATGCTCATAACAACAAGCCAAACTCATCAAAAGAACACTAAAACAACAGCTTAACACATTCATGCCATTACACATGCTCAAAAACCTTCAAACTCGCCAAAACAAACAATTTTCATAACAACAAGCCAAACTCATCAAAAGAACACTAAAACAACAGCTTAACAAAAGGGTTAACTAATTCAACACAAACATGCCATTAAACATGCTCAAAAACCTTGAAACTCGCCCAAACAAACAATGTGCATAACAACAAGCCAAACTCCTTAAAAGAACACTTAAAACACATTTTAACACAATGGATTACTAATTCAACACATTCATGCCATTACACATGCTCAAAAACCTTCATGCTCGCCAAAACAAACACTTTTCATAACAACAAGCCAAACTCATCAAAAGAACACTAAAACAACAGCTTAACACATTCATGCCATTACACATGCTCAAAAACCTTCAAACTCGCCAAAACGAACAATGTTCATAACAACAAGCCAAACTCATCAAAAGAACACTAAAACAACAGCTTAACGCATTCATGCCATTACACATGCTCAAAAACGTTCAAACTCGCCAAAACAAACAATGTTCATAACAACAAGCCAAACTCATCAAAAGAACACTAAAACAACAGCTTAACACATTCATGCCATTACACATGCTCAAAAACCTTCAAACTCGCCAGAACGAATAATGTTCATAACAACAAGCCAAACTCATCAAAAGAACACTAAAATAACAGCTTAACAAAAGGGTTAACTAATTCAACACAAACATGCCATTAAACATGCTCAAAAACCTTGAAACTCGCCCAAACAAACAATGTGCATAACAACAAGCCAAAATCATCAAAAGAACACTAAAACAACAGCTTAACAAATTCATGCCATTACACATGCTCAAAAACCTTCAAACTCGCCAAAACAAACAATGTTCATAACAACAAGCCAAAACTCATCAAAAGAACACTAAAAATATATCTAAACACAAGGGTGAATTAATTTAACACATACATGCCATTACACATGCTCACAAATCTTTAAATTCGTCAAAACAAACAATGTTCATAACAACAAGCCAAACTCTTTAAAAGAACACTTAAAACACAGCTTAACACAAGGGGTAACCAATTCAACACATACGTGCCATACTACATGCTCACAAACCTTCAAACTCGCCAAAACAAACAATGTTCATAACAACAAGCCAAACTCATCAAAAGAACACTAAAACAACACCTTAACACAAACATGCCATTAAACATGCTCAAAAACCTTCAAACTCGCCAAAACAAACAATGCTCCTAACAACTAGCCAAACTCATAAAAAAGAACACTAAAACAACACCTTAACACAAACATGCCATTAAACATGCTCAAAAACCTTCAAACTCGCCAAAACAAACAATGTTCATAACAACAAGCCAAACTCATCAAAAGAACACTAAAACAACAGCTTAACACATTCATGCCATTACACATACTCAAAAACCTTTAAACTCGCCAAAAAAAAACAATGTTCATAACAACAAGCCAATCTCATCAAAAGAACACTAAAACAACAGCTTTACACAAGGGTTAACTAATTCAACACAAACATGCCATTAAACATGCTCAAAAACCTTTAAACTCGCCCAAACAAACAATGTGCATAACAACAAGCCAAAATCATCAAAAGAACACTAAAACAACAGCTTAACAAATTCATGCCATTACACATGCTCAAAAACCTTCAAACTCGCCAAAACAAACAATGTTCATAACAACAAGCCAAACTAATCAAAAGAACACTAAAACAACAGCTTAACACATTCATGCAATCAAACATGCTCAAAAAACTTCAAACTCGCCAAAACAAACAATGCTCATAACACCAAGCCAAACTCATCAAAAGAACACTAAAACAACAGCTTAACGCATTCATGCCATTACACATGCTCAAAAACATTCAAACTCGCCAAAACAAACACTTTTCATAACAACAAGCCAAACTCCTTAAAAGAACACTTAAAACACATCTTAACACAATGGATTACTAATTCAACACATTCATGCCATTACACATGCTCAAAAACCTTCATACTCGCCAAAACAAACACTTTTCATAACAACAAGCCAAACTCATCAAAAGAACACTAAAACAACAGCTTAACACATTCATGCCATTACACATGCTCAAAAACCTTCAAACTCGCCAAAACGAACAATGTTCATAACAACAAGCCAAACTCATCAAAAGAACACTAAAACAACAGCTTAACGCATTCATGCCATTACACATGCTCAAAAACGTTCAAACTCGCCAAAACAAACAATGTTCATAACAACAAGCCAAACTCATCAAAATAACACTAAAACAACAGCTTAACGCATTCATGCCATTACACATGCTCAAAAACCTTCAAACTCGCCAAAACAAACAATTTTCATAAAAACAAGCCAAACTCATCAAAAGAACACTAAAACAACAGCTTAACGCATTCATGCCATTACACATGCTCAAAAACGTTCAAACTCGCCAAAACAAACACTTTTCATAACAACAAGCCAAACTCCTTAAAAGAACACTTAAAACACATCTTAACACAATGGATTACTAATTCAACACATTCATGCCATTACACATGCTCAAAAACGTTCAAACTCGCCAAAACAAACAATGTTCATAACAACAAGCCAAACTCATCAAAAGAACACTAAAACAACAGCTTAACACATTCATGCCATTACACATGCTCAAAAACCTTCAAACTCGCCAAAACAAACAATTTTCATAACAACAAGCCAAACTCATCAAAAGAACACTAAAACAACAGCTTAACAAAAGGGTTAACTAATTCAACACAAACATGCCATTAAACATGCTCAAAAACCTTGAAACTCGCCCAAACAAACAATGTGCATAACAACAAGCCAAAATCATCAAAAGAACACTAAAACAACAGCTTAACAAATTCATGCCATTACACATGCTCAAAAACCTTCAAACTCGCCAAAACAAACAATGCTCATAACAACAAGCCAAAACTCATCAAAAGAACACTAAAAATATATCTAAACACAAGGGTGAATTAATTTAACACATACATGCCATTACACATGCTCACAAATCTTTAAATTCGTCAAAACAAACAATGTTCATAACAACAAGCCAAACTCTTTAAAAGAACACTTAAAACACAGCTTAACACAAGGGGTAACCAATTCAACACATACGTGCCATACTACATGCTCACAAACCTTCAAACTCGCCAAAACTAACAATGTTCATAACAACAAGCCAAACTCATCAAAAGAACACTAAAACAACACCTTAACACAAACATGCCATTAAACATGCTCAAAAACCTTCAAACTCGCCAAAACAAACAATGCTCCTAACAAATAGCCAAACTCATAAAAAAGAACACTAAAACAACACCTTAACACAAACATGCCATTAAACATGCTCAAAAACCTTCAAACTCGCCAAAACAAACAATGTTCATAACAACAAGCCAAACTCATCAAAAGAACACTAAAACAACAGCTTAACACATTCATGCCATTACACATACTCAAAAACCTTTAAACTCGCCAAAAAAAAACAATGTTCATAACAACAAGCCAATCTCATCAAAAGAACACTAAAACAACAGCTTTACACAAGGGTTAACTAATTCAACACAAACATGCCATTAAACATGCTCAAAAACCTTTAAACTCGCCCAAACAAACAATGTGCATAACAACAAGCCAAAATCATCAAAAGAACACTAAAACAACAGCTTAACAAATTCATGCCATTACACATGCTCAAAAACCTTCAAACTCGCCAAAACAAACACTTTTCATAACAACAAGCCAAACTCATCAAAAGAACACTAAAACAACAGCTTAACACATTCATGCCATTACACATGCTCAAAAACCTTCAAACTCGCCAAAACAAACAGTGTTCATAACAACAAGCCAAACTCCTTAAAAGAACACTTAAAACACATCTTAACACAATGGATTACTAATTCAACACATTCATGCCATTACACATGCTCAAAAACCTTCATACTCGCCAAAACAAACACTTTTCATAACAACAAGCCAAACTCATCAAAAGAACACTAAAACAACAGCTTAACACATTCATGCCATTACACATGCTCAAAAACCTTCAAACTCGCCAAAACGAACAATGTTCATAACAACAAGCCAAACTCATCAAAAGAACACTAAAACAACAGCTTAACGCATTCATGCCATTACACATGCTCAAAAACGTTCAAACTCGCCAAAACAAACAATGTTCATAACAACAAGCCAAACTCATCAAAATAACACTAAAACAACAGCTTAACGCATTCATGCCATTACACATGCTCAAAAACCTTCAAACTCGCCAAAACAAACAATTTTCATAAAAACAAGCCAAACTCATCAAAAGAACACTAAAACAACAGCTTAACGCATTCATGCCATTACACATGCTCAAAAACGTTCAAACTCGCCAAAACAAACACTTTTCATAACAACAAGCCAAACTCCTTAAAAGAACACTTAAAACACATCTTAACACAATGGATTACTAATTCAACACATTCATGCCATTACACATGCTCAAAAACCTTCATACTCGCCAAAACAAACACTTTTCATAACAACAAGCCAAACTCATCAAAAGAACACTAAAACAACAGCTTAACACATTCATGCCATTACACATGCTCAAAAACCTTCAAACTCGCCAAAACGAACAATGTTCATAACAACAAGCCAAACTCATCAAAAGAACACTAAAACAACAGCTTAACGCATTCATGCCATTACACATGCTCAAAAACGTTCAAACTCGCCAAAACAAACAATGTTCATAACAACAAGCCAAACTCATCAAAATAACACTAAAACAACAGCTTAACGCATTCATGCCATTACACATGCTCAAAAACCTTCAAACTCGCCAAAACAAACAATTTTCATAAAAACAAGCCAAACTCATCAAAAGAACACTAAAACAACAGCTTAACTCATTCATGCCATTACACATGCTCAAAAACCTTCAAACACGCCAAAACAAACAATGCTCATAACAACAAGCCAAAACTCATCAAAAGAACAATAAAAATATATCTAAACACAAGGGTGAATTAATTCAACACATACATGCCATTACACATGCTCACAAATCTTTAAACTCGTCAAAACAAACAATGTTCATAACAACAAGCCAAACTCTTTAAAAGAACACTTAAAACACAGCTTAACACAAGGGGTAACCAATTCAACACATACGTGCCATACTACATGCTCACAAACCTTCAAACTCGCCAAAACTAACAATGTTCATAACAACAAGCCAAACTCATCAAAAGAACACTAAAACAACACCTTAACACAAACATGCCATTAAACATGCTCAAAAACCTTCAAACTCGCCAAAACGAACAATGCTCCTAACAACTAGCCAAACTCATCAAAAGAACACTAAAACAACACCTTAACACAAACATGCCATTAAACATGCTCAAAAACCTTCAAACTCGCCAAAACAATGTTCATAACAACAAGCCAAACCCATCAAAAGAACACTAAAACAACAGCTTAACACATTCATGCCATTACACATACTCAAAAACCTTTAAACCCGCCAAAAAAAAAACAATGTTCATAACAACAAGCCAATCTCATCAAAAGAACACTAAAACAACAGCTTAACACAAGGGTTAACTAATTCAACACAAACATGCCATTAAACATGCTCAAAAACCTTTAAACTCGCCCAAACAAACAATGTGCATAACAACAAGCCAAAATCATCAAAAGAACACAAAAACAACAGCTTAACAAATTCATGCCATTACACATGCTCAAAAACTTTCAAACTCGCCAAAAGAAACAATGTTCATAACAACAAGCCAAACTCATCAAAAGAACACTAAAACAACAGCTTAACACATTCATGCCATTACACATGCTCAAAAACCTTCAAACTCGCCAAAACAAACACTTTTCATAACAACAAGCCAAACTCCTTAAAAGAACACTTAAAATACATCTTAACACAAGGGATTACTAATTTAACACATTCATGCCATTACACATGCTCAAAAACCTTCATACTCGCCAAAACAAACAATGTTCATAACAACAAGCCAAACTCATCAAAAGAACACTAAAACAAACAGCTTAACACATTCATGCCATTACACATGCTCAAAAACCTTCAAACTCGCCAAAACAAACACTTTTCATAACAACAAGCCAAACTCCTTAAAAGAACACTTAAAATACATCTTAACACAATGGATTACTAATTCAACACATTCATGCCATTACACGTGCTCAAAAACCTTCAAACTCGCCAAAACAAACAATGTTCATAACAACAAGCCAAACTCATCAAAAGAACACTAAAACAACAGCTTAACACATTCATGCCATTACACATGCTCAAAAACCTTCAAACTTGCCAAAACAAACAATGTTCATGATACAAGCCAATCTCATCAAAAGAACACTAAAACAACAGCTTAACACAAGGGTTAACTAATTCAACACAAACATGCCATTAAACATGCTCAAAAACCTTTAAACTCGCCAAAACAAACAATGTGCATAACAACAAGCCAAACTCATCAAAAGAACACTAAAAACAACAGCTTAACACATTCATGCCATTTCACATGTTCAAAAACCTTCAAACTCGCCAAAACAAACAATATTCATAACAACAAGCCACACTCATCAAAAGAACACTAAAAGAACAGCTTCACACAAACATGCCATTACACATGCTCAAAAACCTTCAAATCGCCAAAACAATGTTCATAACAACAAGCTAAACTCATCAAAAGAACACTAAAACAACAGCTTAACACATTCATGCCATCACACATGCTCAAAAACCTTCAAACTCGCCAAAACAAACAATGCTCATAACAACAAGCCAAACTCATCAAAAGAACACTAAAACAACAGCTTAACACATTCATGCCATTACACATGCTCAAAAACCTTTAAACTCGCCAAAACAAACAATTTTCATAACAACAAGCCAAACTCATCAAAAGAACACTAAAACAACAGCTTAACACATTCATGCCATTACACATGCTCAAAAACCTTCAAACACGCCAAAACAAACAATGCTCATAACAACAAGCCAAAACTCATCAAAAGAACACTAAAAATACATCTAAACACAAGGGTGAACTAATTCAACACATACATGCCATTACACATGCTCACAAATCTTTAAACTCATCAAAACAAACAATGTTCATAACAACAAGCCAAACTCTTTAAAAGAACACTTAAAACACAGCTTAACACAAGGGGTAACCAATTCAACACATCCGTGCCATACTACATCCTCACAAACCTTCAAACTCGCCAAATCAAACAACAAGCCAACTCATCAAAAGAACACTAAAACAACAGCTTTACACAAGGCTTATCTAATTCACAACATTCATGCCATTACACATGCTCAAAAACCTTCAAACTCGCCAAAACAAACAATGTTCATAACAACAAGCCAAACTCTTTAAAACAACACTTAAAACACAGCTTAACACAAGGGTTCGGGTTAGGGTTAGGGGTTAGGGTTAGGGGGGTTCGGGTTATGGGTAGGGGTTTGGATTACGGGAAAAGGGGGACTGTCTCCTAGAATTGGAGACAGGAGGTGCACGGTCCATCCCCCTGTTCCCTGTCCCCCACGACCCCGTGTGGTACTGCTGATTTGTGCGCTACGGGCGTCGACCACGCCTTCTCCCTTATCGCACTTCAGTCCATTCTTGCTCATTGTAATTCATGATTGTTTTTAATCTTTTTAATTATTTATTACTATTTATTAATGTGGTGTATTTATTAAACTATCTATTTATTTATCGGTGTATTTATCTATCTAATTTATTTATTTATTCAAATCAAGGTATTTAAAACCAAAACAGTATAACCAAATAAATGAACTGTTCTTATTTTTTTTATGCTTTTTTTGTTTTTTTGTGAAATAAAAATGAAATAAAAGGAAATAAAAGTCAAAAAACTAAATAAAACGTCTATCAAAATGAAGAATTGAAGAATAAGGTGTGAAAAAAGCGCCCAGTCGCGACGTTTCGACCGCTGTGGGTCTTCTTCAGGCTATGGGCACAAAAAGGGTTAGGTTAGGGTTAGGGTTAGAGGTTAGGGTTAGGATTACGGGAATAGGGGGACTGTCTCCTAGAATAGGAGACAGGAGGTGCACGGTCCATCCCCCTGTTCCCCGTCCCCCACGACCCCGTTTGGTACTGCTGATTAGTATGGTAGGGGTGTCGACCACGCCTTCTCCCATATCGCACCTCAGTCCATTGTTCTTGCTTATAAGTCATGATTGTTGTTTTAACCTTTTTAATTATTTATTGCTATTTATTAATGTGGTGTATCTATGAAACTATTTATTTATCTATCTATCTATCTATCTATCTATCTATCTATCTATCTATCTATCTATCTATCTATCTATTTATTCAAATCAAGGTGTTTAAAACAAAAACTGTATATAAAAATAAAACAAATGAATTGTTCTGTATTTTTTTATGCTTTTTTTGTTTTCAGTGAAATAAAAATGAAATAAAATGAAATAAAAGTAAAAGAACTAAATAAACTGTCTATCAAAATAAAGAATTAAAGATAAAGGTGTGGAAAAAGTGCCCAGTCGCGACGTTTGGACCGCTGTGGGTCTTCTTCAGGCTATGGGCACAAAAAGAACTAGAAAAATTGCATTTCCTTGCAGAAAATGCGTGGAAATGCTGAGTGCTGAAAGCTGAAAAAGCAATGCTAAACTGCTAATAAAACATGGAGAAAGGTATAAATGTTAAAGCTGTTGAAAGGGGTGAAAAAGAAATATAAGTTGGATAATGGTTTAATTGGTTGAAGGACAAATAGTATGAATATGCTCTATAAAAGGAAATTTTATTCATGCTGAAAGAGGCTAGAAAAATGTCTAAAATTGCACAAAGTTTGAATGAGGAAGGAAATTGCCTTAAAAGGCAGGAAGGTGACAAGTGGCATAAGTTTAAGTTGTAGAACTAGAAGTAGTGTGATTAGAGGTCAAGTCGTGATACTAGTAGTCATGTAAGCAGTAGAAGTAGTTTGAGAATAAAAGAAGTATAAGTCAAAGTAGTAAAGAAAGTAGAAATAGTAGCAATAGCAGCAGTAGAGAAAGTAGAAATAGGAGCAATAGCAGTTGAAGTAGAGGGGAAAGTACTAGTTTAATTAACATTAGCAGTAGTTGTCGTACTTGAGGTAGGATTTTGTTTGAAGGATGGAATAATGCATAAATATTAAAACTAATTTAAAACATGGAAAATTTAAATAATTAAAAATCCTCGAAGTATCAGAAAGTTTTAAAGTATTAGAAAGGCTTGAATCAGTTTGAATGAGTTAAAATTAGTTTGAAAAATTAAATGATAAATCATCACTGAGTGACTTTAAAATGTGAAAAATTTAAATGACTATAAATCCTGAATACACCCCATAATGTCCTCAATGAGCTTAGATTTTAGAGCCCTGAATGGTTTCTGTAGGTCAAAGGTCATGTGAGGAGATACGGGCTGAAGTTTTTTCAAGCGCTCTAGGAAAGGGTTTTAAGTGTCATCCCCAGTGCTATGTGTACTGAGCCTGGCTTTATGTGTCTCATATGGCCATTAAAAGCAGCTTTCCAGTCAGCTGTGTGTCTCTAGGTGCACAAATTGGTTGCCATGGGGACCTTGGATGCATAACTATAGCAGGAGAAAGAAGGCTTGAAGCTAAGGAAACAGGACTCCAAGTAGGCCCTGACGCTCATCCTCTGTATATATTCATGTTAAGGAGCTTGTGAGAACACAAGACTCTGCTGAACACATTAATACAATTTATTATCACAATCCTCAAAACACCCCGTAATATCTTCAATGAGCTAAATTTTTGAAGCGCAGAATGGTTTCTGTAGCTCAAAGTTTGTGGGTGGAGATAGGTGGTGAAGCAGACACATATTAACTGTGTGTACAAGCAGCTGAACTGCAAGGTAGACCTCACAAAGCAACAAGTACACGAATGTGTGTGTCTCGTTAATGATTGCATCCTAAACAGCTGTAAGATCAAAGCCATGAACTGACCTATTGTTTGAATGGAGAAGCTGCTGAACTGCAGTGAATTTAGGGTTCTGAACTTCTTCACATAGCACGATTTCCTCAAGTCCCAGAATGAAAATAAGAACATCGTACGAATCCTCCGCCCTTCATGAACACAATGATGTGTTTTTCATGTCTGTACTCCGAAAAATGTGGCTACAACAGCGAGTTAAAAAATCTGAGCCTGAGTGATGATAAGGATTTTCTTGGAGAAAAAATACATTAGGGCCAATGGGGAGAGATTTCCGCCTATTTGGACAGTTGGTCACCTGCTGGCCAAGGGGTAGGGTTTAATGATTTGAAACCTCTTTTGTGAGAAGCAGGACACATATACCTCCATTTTGATGTATTTTTTATGGCTGTGGAGTGAGATTTGTGGGCGTGGGAGCGTTATATTCGAGCGAGGTTCTGTCGATCAGAGACGAGGTCTGCACTCTAGCTTTTCAAATCGTCAAGGGGCGTTCAGTCCAATCGCGTCGCTTTGGTCGGTCACGTCGCGCCGCAGGGTGCTCTGGTGTGTTCACACCGGGTCCAAAGCTGCAGTCGCAGGTCGCAGCTGGTCGCCGGTGACGTCATCCATGTCACTAGCTCAATTTTCAGTTCATCAGTGCTGCCGCATATCTGTACATCCGCAGTAGACGCCGCCGGCGTTTATGGGTGCATGAAACCATCCGGAGGAGGACGGAGCTGAGTGAATTTCACCGCTTGCTCCAGGAACTCTGCCTGGACGACGGCCGCTTCAAGCGGTATTTCCGTGTGTCGACAGCGCAGTTCGAGGACCTCCTCGCCCGGGTGGGAAGCAGCATCTCCCGCCTGGACACGAAATACAGGTGCTCCATCTCAGCTTCGGAGTGCCTGTCTATCTGGACAGCCTGGAAAGATAGTCCTCCTCCTGACTGGTGAGCGTGCGCATTGCTTCATTCCCTTCCTTGCTGTTGAACTGTGTGTAGCGTTTCTTTCCTCCTGAAAGCGCTCTCTTGCTGTTTTGGTTTTGGTTTATTTTCTCTCTGTAATTTATCAGTACATCTGTTTGTTTAGAAAGTCTGTAAGTATTTCTGATAGTTTTCACCAAGCACCGTTTTTATCTCCACTCCGGGCGATCTCTCTGACCATCTACTTTACTAGCTCCTAGCTTAGCTTCTCTTAGTTACACTTGCTAACGATGGCTTCCCCCCGGTCTCCTGCCTCTCCTGCTCGCTTCTGCTCAGTTTGTCAGATGTTCAGTTACTCCTCGTCCTCCTTAGACGATAACGATACCTGCTTTAAGGCGACATCGAAGGTAGTTTAAAACTGCTGGCAAAGGCTAAACGTAAATTCCGTAAGATTGTAATACATGTCGGCGTTAATGACTCCCGACGCCGCCAGTCGGAAGTCACTAAATTGAACGTGGAATCGGTGTGTGAATATGCCAAAACCATGTCGGACTCCGTAGTTTTCTCTGGTCCCCTGCCCGATCAGACAACTGATGAGATGTGTAGCCGTATCTCATCATTCAACCGCTGGCTGTCGAGGTGGTATCCGCAAAACGGCGTGAGCTTCATTGATAATTGGAAGTCATTTTGGGGCAAGCCTGGTCTGATTAGTCGGGATGGCATTCATCCCACCCGAGATGGAGCGGCCCGTTTATCCAGAAATCTGGCCGATTTTATTAATCCGAACCACTGACAATTCAAAGCAGAGATCAGGGAGCAGGGCCGCAATCTTACACGCCCCCCTGCGCCTCTTTTAGAGCAGCCTCCCAGCCACTACCACTTATACACAGAGACAAGGGAGCAGAGCCACAGTGTAAAACGCCCTTCTGTACTCCCTTCAGAGCAGCTTCCAAGCTACAATCAGCTTGACATAGAAATCAGGGAGCAGAGCCGCAGTGTAAAACGCCCCTCTGTACTCCCTTCAGAGCAGCTTCTAAGCTACTCTTGTTGTGGAAAGTCCAGCATAAACAATGCACAGGAGACATTATGAGATCTGAAGAACAGCCTGGGGCGTCTTTAATAGTACAGATGTAGAAATCAGTACAGATGACAAACAGAGTCTCGACCAAGACCCAAGGAAGCCTTCTCTAGCTTCTCTTCTTCTCTCTTTTATGCTGTTAGGTGTGTGTGTGTGTGTGTGTGTGTGTGTGTGTGTGTGTGTGTGTGTGTATGTGTGTGTGTCTTCTCCACAAGGCCCCTCATGATGACATGTCTGCCCCACGACACTTTGTTTAGGTTCGTCTTGACCCTGGCAGAGATTACATGTTCCAACATAAAAATAGTTTGGGCTCCTGCAAGACAGCCTTGCTTACAATCTCATGGTCGTGGGGCTGCAGGAGCAGGCCAACCGAGATTATTTGTACCTTCTTACTAAAAGATAATTACTCTATATTTCTTAACCTAAATGTATGAAGACATTCCCCTACACATCCCCCCTTTGAAAGTTCTTACTTTCACAAAAACCTAATCATCATATCAAACACTAAGCACCATACCATAGCTTGGATCATTTCAAATTATATCAGCGCGTAAGACTGAAAACCTGCTCGGCTGTTTCAGCAGGGAAAGAATCTTACGGCCCCGCGCCCTGGCGACCATCCATTTCCTGGATGCGCTGACATAATTTCATTTGCATAGAAGAAAGTGTCCACATTTGATAATATCATTACATTACATTGTAGCAACCTCCGACAAACCCCTTGATTAATATCTGATTAACCCCTTGATCAATGTGTGATTAGTGTAGTCCTTTAACTCTGCGAATGAAACATGTTCAGTTCAATATCTCAGCTCATTGAATATGTTGTTTGTGTTGCTCAAAGTCCATTGCTCATCTTCGTCTCCGTCCAAGTCCAGGAACCCTTCAGGTCCCTCAGTCCCTCCTTGATTAATCACACACTATGCCAGCTTTTTTTTTGGTGGCATTTCCTGTAGTTCATGGGCCGGTGTTAGGTCCACCATTAGTCCCATCTCCTCCGTCAGCTTCCAACAATGTCTCCAAAGGATGTGTACGATGCGACATGTGAGAAAGGAAATCAGAATTAGGGCTATCGTAGCACTCATGGCTGGGCCAAAACGGCTCTCATTCATCTAAAATTTGGACCAACCAGTCCATCAACAGGCCCCCCTAACCAGCATTCTCCCGCATTTCCACTTTAAACTTTTCTTTACCCTTCACCACTTTCAGTCCATCAACAGGCCCCCCTTACCATCATTCTCCCGCATTTCCACTTTAAACTTTTCTTTATACCCTTCATAGCTTTAGAAAAACCTCCCCCAGGGGCTTGTTTTGTTAGAAATGTATCTGCGACAGTACTTTCCAAACTTTTAAGACACATCTTTTCTCTTCAAATACCCAATTTAATGCTTGTCTGTATTGACGTGTTAGTGGACTTGTTAATATCCTTTAATCTAAACATCTTCGCTGAATAATCAACAAATCAAATCAAACAATACTTTCTTTCACATAATTGCTTAATTTTACATTTAAAAAACAGTTCTTCTCTTATTTGTAAAAATCTGGCAAAAATCTCTTCCCCATTTACCACCTCCAGCTGTTATTTTATTGCCACACACGACTTTTCAGCATTCATTTTACTTCCTATGTGATAAATTCATCTGGAATCTTTCCTTCAATATATTAGATCTACTTAATGTGTAGGGCTCTCTTGTTTCTGATTATCTATATAAAAAAATTCTTTTAAATTTTATTATCTATTTAACCTAATTGTAAATCTGTAATAATCTGTGAATGTTGGCATGGGTTCTAGCTCTGTCTGGAGTGGTGTGGATTGTGTTTTGGGTTGCATCGTACTCACCCACGATAACAATGTCTCCCACTTCTTCTTCTCACAGCTGTACTGGCACCAGTTTGACCTTCACCCTCATTGTTGTCTCCAGTCTCTCTCTCGGTCTCTCTCCACACATTGTCCCTCAACAGCAACACCAGGAAAACTGTTACTTTCAGGACGAGTGCTACAGTCATTCTGGGAGCGTCTCTTATCAAGTCATACTTCCCTTGTTTTTCTGGGCAGTCAGTGGTAGATGACGCCACATCATATTGCCCTCTCCTTGCACTGAAGTAGATTCACCAGGACCAAAGTGTTCAGGTCTTCTCCTCGTTCTTTGTGCCACCCTCCTCAAAGGACGGTGATGTACACCTGGTGCTCTGGCTCGACTGGCCTCCACCTCTTGACTGGGATTAGATTTTGGCACTCCTCCTGCTAATCGATAGATCTTTGCATCGTAGTTAGCTGCCTCATATATTTAATTCACTAATTTTCAGCTGCTCAAGCGAACAGCTTAATTATTTAGCCGCAGTAAAGCATAGCTTTGTAAGTTAGAAATTCATGCAGTGAAAGATTTATCACAGTGCTTTTGATTGTGAAAGCTCATAAGCGCAAGTAGCCAAAGCATTTTCCTATAGGTTAGTGTTAGTGCAAATTCTCTGATCAGATATTTACTTGAGAGATTAACTTTCTTCCCCAAAATGATGTACCAATTCATGCAGTGACAGATTTATTTTGACTCCAAGATCTTTTGATGGTGTTGCTTCTATCCATCGACTGAACCCGTCATCATTACAAACATGTAACATATCCCTTGGCAGTTTTAATCATGTCCACATTGTCTATGAATAGATTTCTAAAAGCGTCTCTCTGGAACTGGAAAAATGTCCCGCTACTGTTTTATTGTTCTCTTCAATTTATCTAACAAAACACATATCACAGTGACCCAAAAGGTTATCAACTATTGTCAGAATATTCTAAAAATCTCACGTTTTAATTGTCTCATCATCTCCCCCCTTGCACAGTGTGAATCACTGTGAAAGTCAGATCCTAAGTTTGTTTGTTAATACTACTGGTACAAAAACTAGTTATTTGACTCTAAACCATTTTCTGTGGCCTTATTGACCTTTGATAGCTTCCTATTACTTTTACATTAGGTGGCACATCTGTGAGGAGTGTATGTGGATTCAGCACAGCTGCATTTAGATTTATCAATATTAAACTAACAGAACAGGAATGTTACAATGCTAATGTCACGATATTTACTTAAAACTATAAACCATAACTGTCTACTTACACACCTTGCAGTGAGCACCAGATTTGAATGTTACTTCTACATAGGGCTCTTTGGTCTATAAGGTCAACAGGGTTAAAATTAAAACCAACAATTAACTTTTTCCATCATCCACAAAAATCACACTGTAGTAAGCCACCACTTTCACATTGTCTGGGCTGGGGCCCCCCACCACAGCTCCAGCCAGAGACGTCCCTGGTCTGGGCAGTTGTCAAAAATGTCCGGTATGATCACATCCCCAGCAGGTCTTTAGACGTCACACGTCCGTCAGAATTCCACTCTCTCCCCCTGCCGGGATATATCCTCTCTATGGAGCAGGGTTCTGTCTGAGGATAAACATTCACAACAGGTGATTAAACAGGTTACTGTCACAGGCTTTACCGCAGTTAGCGTCTGCACGGTCTGCATCGCTGGGTCCCTTTTGCAGTGTCCCCCTTAGAGGTGGCTGTTTCAACTTCCGCTGAATGTTCTTTTCCTGTTCTTTCGGTCTCCGCTCTTCATCTGGCAGCACCCTCCACATCACATCACAATATGCACTGAACTCACTCCTATCTATCATGGGATACGTCATCCAACCTTGTTTTGCCTTGCGCAGAAACTCCTCCATCGTCTTAGTTCCCAGCAGTTGAGCCAAGAGTGCTATCATGTCTGGTGTAGTCAA